TACGGATGCATGGACCGAAGGGTCGACGGCCGAAGATGACTTAGCTCTTGAACTTCCTTATCGTCGTCGAGTTATGAAAACACGTTACAATATATATAAAAACACATAAAATAAATTTTAAAGTTTCTCTACTTTTTTAAATTCCCATTCAATGTCTTACTGAAACATAATATAGGATTGCTTGAGACACCCGTGAATTGTCATATTTTTCAATTTTCCAATTCGCAGCTACCGCACACGCAAAAGGGACATAGAGAAATCTCTGACGTTGTATTTCCGTTGATCCTCTACCGCCTTTCCCATAAATTCCGCTTCTTTTCCTCGATATGGCAGCTGGATATGTCGGACGCATCTTGTGTCGGGAAAGCGCGTAATATATATATACATGCATACGTTATAGTTGAAGGAAAGAAAGAAGGAAGCGGATAAAGAAAGTAAAAAGAAAGTAATACCACCACAAACTTTAACACCTATCCATACACAGTATCCAGTGGTACATACGTGTACGTCATACATATGGGATACACCCTGGGCTCTTTCTCTCCATCCTCTGTACTCTCATAGGTAATACGCTTTCGTCTATGTAAGGGTCCTGCTCAATTCTTATCCCCGTGTACCAAAACGTTTTCTACCCCCAGCCAGTCACCCAGCCAGTCACCCAGCCAGCCACCCGTCTCTGTTTGAAGAGGAAATTTTACAGTCGAATACACTTGATGCAAGACTTACAGTACCCTATACCCTGTCCATTTCAGCCGTGGCCGAAAGGACTCTAAACGTTACACCACGCCCTTATTATATTCATCCTGACTGGAAAAAAACCTTCCCTCACTATCAATGACTTGAGGGTAAAAAAAATATCACACTTTTCGAGTCCAATTACAATTCGATCAATACGATAAAACGTCAATTTTTCATAAATTCTAGAGATCAATAAATAATAATCACAAAGGAAAACGAAACTCAACAGAACGAATCTGAAGGCTCGCACGAGGTTCGGCACTCAGAAGAATTCAGCCCCTCTTCACCGTGGCAGAGCCTGATAGCTCTCAAATCGTATTTTCTGAGGCGCACACGCGTGCTCCGCTCACCATTAAAAGGGTTAGTGGTTAACCGCGTAGGGGTGATTATTTTTCTTTTCTAGTTACGAATTTATTGAACCAAAGTCATATCCCGTTCCTGTCGGCTCGTCATCCTCGAATTTGAACTTCCACGACGGGTAGAGCCTCGGCCGTCGGTACTGCGGTGGTATCGGGTAGGACTAGGGGTGGTTGGGATCTATCCAGAAGGGATGACAGGCGAAGTAGAAAAAAGTAGGCGACGCGGGGGGCTGGGAGGGGGGTGGTTAGTTCACGAAGGCAGACACAGATCAAAAGAAGAGTCGCCTGTTTTGCGAGAGCCTGGGCTTTTAAAGAGTGTTTCCTCGAGGCGCGTCTTCTTGCCCGTTCGCCTCTCCTCCCTTGTACGTTAGGTATATCCTGGACCGGGTAGGACTGGAATGAAATGCTTGGGGTTGCCATCCACTCGGAATTCAGAAACGATCAATGCTAGGGGAAGCCCCTGGTTCCCTCAGCCGAGGTCCCTCTTTTACCGTTTTCTTCCTCCTCCTGCTCCTCCTCGTACCTTACTCGCTTTCTCTGCATTCTTTATTTTTGTTCTTTTTTATTTTCATCCCAACCTCACCAGCGTTGCCTCTATCTACGTTTCGTTTGCTGCGACTTTTCTCCTTATTTTCGTTTCTTTTGCTTCCTCTTCTACTTCCTCTTCTTCTACTAACGTGCAGCAGTCTCACCTTTCCATCTTGGAAAGCTCTGACATGGAGGTGGGGTCTAGGGGGGGAGGATCCATCTTTTCTTATTCTTATTTCGTTCCAACCCCCCCCCCCCCCCC